AAAAAAACGCATTTCAAATGAAAGTGCATCGAAAGGGTGTTACAATTGAATTTTTTTTTGTTCATAAACAAATACTAGTTAAATAATGTTTTTATTTATAAGAATATATGCGCGCATGCATATTCCAAAATATACGAAATTTTTTCTGAATTATTTGGAATTGTGACTAAAGTTGCTTCATATTGAAAAAAAATTATATTCCTATAAAAAAAAACACATAATCAGCCTAATCAAGAGTTTAGTGTTCGCATGAAATCGTTCACTTTTGGCTTAGGTGTATTCACTAGGGGCGGTTGAAAAGAAACAAACAATAAAGCTGAATTTATGTATTTCTTTTCATTATGAAGCTACTCGGTGTGTCGAGAAATTTTCGAAAGTTATGAAATTATGCATTAAAAAAGCAATTCAAGCTTCTACTTGTAACTTCTTTTGTGCAAACTGACATGTCTTCTTTTCCAGAGCTCGTGGCCTATTTGATGTGCATTCAGTTACTGATTGATTATTGTATTTACACGCATATCAAAGCAATCATTTAGGTAAATGCTTCATTGCCGAATGTTGCAGAAGTTGATCGGGCGATACTAATTTCCCCGTTGTTTACTCACTTTGGCATTTCTTTAATTGTTATGATGTCTGCGTTATTTTCCAAAATATTTCCATTTCGAGAGTTGTGTGCTTGCAACATTTGCTTAAGGCTATTAGGGACTTTAAATGGGTCATGCAAAAGTACAAATACGAAAATGGAATGTTGCTTTACAATACGTTTAATTCGCTTAAAACTTTGCCGTTTTCCTAGGCTAAGTAGTAGCGAAACTAAAGGACTTCAAGCACGTACTATATTTTTTTGTTTCTATGTAACTTTTGTAAAGTAGTTTTGCGAAAATCTGCACTTTAAGCCTTACACATTGCAGTTAAATACCAATAACAATAAAATCAACAAAAACAACAACGCAATAACAGCAAAAGCAATTGAGGTAATAGCGTAAGCAAACAAAAGTCAGGGAGTCCGCTAGGCAATCGCAACAACAGCAGCAATGAAAGTAACTCAAGCAAATTGGCCCTGCAGCTATGGCTTGCAAAAATTTCAAACTTGTTCTTTTTTTATATTATGTAAAGTTTTCAAGTATGCACATATGTTTCTATGTGTGTGTTTGTATTTTGATATTGAATTTATTCCCTTCCATGTGAAAGTTTGTGCGCTGCAGTATGTCGAAACATCAATAAAAGCACAGCAGATTCAAAGGAGTACAAATAGGCAGCAACTCCTAAAAGTGCGCCTCTCTGTTCACGCTAAAAGTCCACTCCTACTTTGACGACTCCGGCGAGTTGGCGGCAGCACGGCAACACTACAAAATTTTAGTCTATGGCGGAAGGAGGAAATAGGAGAGTCAGATTTGTTACAACTCTAATTTTTGAGCAAAATTAATTTTCGAAACATTTTTCCGCTGCTGACAGAAATTTACAGGAAACTACCCAGCCAGCAGAAAAACGTACCTTTTGCCGACAGTGCAATTTTCGTATCCGGAAACATTCAGAAAACGATTTCCATTTTTATTCATTTTTCGTATCCGAAAAATATCATCATGTCATTTCAAAATAATTTTTAAAATATTTGTTCAAACTGAGCATTTGAAAAGTAGCTGAATGTGCATAGGAGCGTGCTACTTTTGTTAGCTTTCACCAGGTCCTAGGTTCGAATGCCGTCAAAAGCAACATATTAATTGCTGAATTTTAAAATTATTTTTTGTTTAGTTTCCTATGAAAAAGGTTTTGTCTATTTCATAATAAAATCGTTTTCAATGAAATATTGAATCAGACAAATTTCAGGAAATAGTTTTCTGTGCATATGCTTCAGATGAACGCTTAGTGGGAGAAGGAGATCTGAAAAACGACCGAGAACTGAATCGGAAAACGGATGAAATATTTATCAGGATTTTATAAGAAATTGTTCCCATTTTCGGATACGTTTCTGGATATTTTGCTTGTTGGGTAAACATTTCCATATTTCATTTTCCTGTTCACAGAGATACCTCGGTGTAAAGATGTAATTTAAAATTTTTAAATAATTATTTTTGTATTGCTTGCTAATTTACTAATTTGTATGATATCGGTTTGTAAATATAAACACTGAGTGAATTAACGAATAAATTTAAAACCTGTTAAACATGTTTTGTGGTTGCTGTGAATCACTTTATTTAGGGTTGTGTTCTTACACTCTCCCAAAACTCTTATGGTCTCATTCATACAAAATAGATTTAAAGAGCTTGCTGAAACAAATTTTCGATTTGTGAAGCATTTTTTATTTAGGGAGTTCACAAGTCGTGTTATTTGTCATATTTGCTCTTTTGTACTATTTTTTTAGAACAGTTGTAAAATGAAACTTGTGAGCATCCCATACTTTTTCGTATGCTATTGTACAATATTTTAACAATTATATTTCACAAAATCAAAATTATTAAAACAACTTTAGGAAGGGCATTATACCAGAATAAGCGAGAAAAGCAAATTAATGGCTGCGATTTGCGAGAAGTACGCGCAGGACGCAATGATGGAAGGAAGTGAGTCGTCAAATAAGTCATTTATGAATTTTTTTAATTTATTTGGTGCATTTTTGTTAGGCGATGAAGATGAGGAGGAAGATATCGATGAAACTTTTAGGTTGAATATGCTTGTATTGTTGGCAATTCGCGAAGTGTCCATTAGGACTTTGGTTTTCCCTGGACACGCTTAGTTTTGCACTGAATTAAAAAAGATCTTTAATAAGTTAAATATGTTATAAATTAAAGTTAACTTACTCCACTGCCATGAGATGACTCCATTTTTTTATTTAAAATTTGAATATTTTATTGTACTCAGACAAGGAAAAATGTAAATAAATAGAAATGTCTGATCCAATAGCACTCACAAACTTTTACACTTTTAAAACTGTTCTAAAAAAATAGTATAAAAGAGCAAATATGACAAATAGCACGACTTGTGAACTCCCTAATTCTTTATGAATATGGGTTATATGGGAAGAAAATCGGTACATAGTTTCGATACTTTCGCTGGTCCAATATATCATTTTGTGAGCAAATTTTCATGTGAATTTGTCCAAAAATAAAGTTGTGTTCCATTCTGAATTGACCATCCGATATTGATTTGATGAGAGAGTTGACAAAAAATAAGCGAAACCAAAATTCTCATCAAAAGTGCTCACGCATTAGCTTGGTTTCCATCTGTAATTGGACTACCGTCAAGATCCAATTTACTGTCGCATTAGCTTTACCTAACTACAGAATTCGACAAAAAGCGTAACATAGAAACCCTTAGTACGAAGCAACGGGGAATGTTTCGGGACTTATTCGGTACTACGATGATGCATCCGAATTGGACATCAAAGCTCGAGAAGCCAAGGACTATAAAATTTTATCCGCAAACCACAAAATTTCAACGTCTTCAGAACCTACGACTAAACAGGAAGCTGTTAAGTAATTATGGACACGGTTAAGGACAAGCAGCTCAAACAAATTAAACTTTGTCGCTCTAACGCTACCACAGACCCGTTTACTCTTCACTTGGTACATGGGCTGGAACATAGCGACATACCAGGCTATGAGATGGCGAGCGAGCTTGTAAGGAGAAGCACTTCGATTCAACTTTCGCCACATTGGAAGATGTTGGAAATGCCTCTCGCTGCCAGAAAGGTCAAAATAATACTCCTTCTCTGAAAACTGTGCAATGTGGAATTATTTCGACACCTGCAACGCACCGGCTCTTTCGCCAAATGCAGAAATTTACCTAAAGGATATACTAAAATTCCTACGAATTCATAAATTGAAAAAAATGAAGAATGCACTTGAATTTTTTTCTGCCTTCAAGCCAAAGATGGCGAACTTTTGCGCTCGCAGGTATTTCCTGTACATTTACCTTTTTGCTAGCCCACTGTCTACTCGCTTACAAAGCATTACACATTACGCTTGTGCGCTCACATTTGATGCCAAAATATTTGCTGCCAGTACAGCGTGCGTGCTAAATTTGCCAACAATGTCAGCTTGTTTCTGATTGTTATCCATAATGTTGGCCTCATTTTCGTTGCTGTTTAAGTCAGCACTGATTTTTCATTGCTCTCTCGTTGCTGCTACTGCCGCCGTTGCTCTTTTACACACACACACACATACACACGCCCTCTATTCAAATGTATTGTTGTTTTCCCCTTTTGCTATTGTTGCGAGCTATTATTTCCGCATCCTGCATCCCTGCCACATTATAATGCATTTATGTCTATGAGGATGTGTATGCATGTGTGTGTGCGTGCTACTGCTAGTGATGCATTTCACTTTTGCCTTCTGTTGCTGTCATTAATGTTGATGAATTTAATTTTTCACATTTTCACTCTGATTTCATTACAAAAATATTACTAAGGGGCGCGCGCGCGTGCGTGTACGCATTTAAAACGCTCACGTTCAACAATTACGCTTAATTGCTTTTAATGAATATAAATGTTGGTGTGCGTGTGTGCGTGTATGCAGCCGGGAAGGTGCTTTGTATGAGGTATCAACAAACCAAGCCTCCGCCACCTATTTTCACATTTCACCTATCGTTTGCATCAAACAATGTTCAGCCAGTGAGTTTCATGCGCCTTTACTCGTATCGCTACTCTTTGTTAATTTTTTTTATTTTAAATTTTTGATGCTATCACTTTACTGTTATGATGCCGGAAATGATTATTTAATTACGCAACTCATTGCATTGCTATTTCGTTTACTGGCTGCCAGCAATCGTTTAAGGCAGCGAAATTGCATTTTTCACTTTTACAGTGACAATGAGTTGCAATTACCGTTACGAAATTCACACCTTAGCAACGTTTGCAAATGGCTTGACGCATCGCATAAATTCATAATAATATACATAAAGTGTCAATTATATTTACACACACATACGCGGTTTGATGAAACGAGCAAAATGTGAAAAGTATATTACAATTAACTCATTTTTTATTAATTTTTAAAACTTGCTCAAAACTTATTTCAACAATTCTATGTCGATACATACATATGTATATGTATGGAGGCGACAAAAGTAGCTCTTAAGACCAACCAACAGCTACATGGAAGACGATAAGTTGGAATCACTTCAGCATCTACTTTTAGCTGTCCAGTTTAGGCGGACATAAGATTTAAACAAATTTCTATTCCACTTTAAGTGCCGGTTCCTCAACGTCTGATTAACACTAACTGCAGG